TGAAAATCTACCAATGCGCCAGTAATATCAGTGAAAGCGTTTTCACTTTTATTTATATAGCCGAAACGTTGTAAATATGTTAAAATTTCATCTTGGTTTGTTATGTTCTGATGTGTAGCAAAACATAATGACACAAGAAAGAATAAAGTAAGCACGTCTATACAGACGTGTTTAAGTATACACTTAAACATTTTGTATGACAATGAACTGTGTATAATAAAAACCGTGCAATACAGTAAAACCATGCAATAAATAAAACAAAACAACTTTTCTAAAACTTATTTATTTAAATCGTTAATTATAGAAATTTTATAAAAGTACATGTACTCTCTAAGAGCATTATTTAACAAATCATTTGGTAGAATTTCACATAATAAACATAACATTTGCATTGATTCAAAACAAGTTTTACAAAAATATAAAATGTTATAATAATAATAATGACAAAAATTAAGAGCTTCTATTAGGGACACTCGATGAGATATCAAATATTTGTTGGTTTTAAGAATTTCCTGAACTTCATCCTCGCACAAATAGTATTCAACACCGTGTTTTTTCACAACTAGGAATTTAATGTCATCATAAACCAGTTGCGTGACGGTACAATAATCACCACACGGATGCGTCACAGGTTCATATTCGTCCGGGTAGGTTGGTAAGTCTTCATGGAAAAAATCTTTAAGTTTTTGCTCAAGCAAGTCAATTAAAGAAGCCCATTCAAACGTACTAAAAGATATTTTACTTGGTCGGAAATGCTGCTTCAAAATGACTGCTGGTATAAACGATCTCGCTGGGACTTATCCCACATTGAATTTCGTATCCTGACAACATATATGAGGTTTGTAGTAAGTAATGTACCTCACGTTTCGCTGCATCTTCACAAGCTTGAACAATTTTATCAAGTTCTTCGGAAGGATCAGAATCATTATCATCAGACTTTGATTAAAATTTCAAAAAATTATTTAATTCTTTATCAAAATCGTTCATTTCGGTATCAGACATGTCACTGTCGCTATCACTATTCACTTCGATACCACTGTCTTGGCTGCACATGATTACTGAACTGAAAAACTGACAATGCTGCTCCTATTTATAGCCCCCACGAAAGACCGCGTTTTATTATCGTATGTTTCCAAACTGATAAACGTGATGCTGTTGAAGCAGATCCGACCCTGTTTGATCATGTAAATACGGCTAGCATTCGAGTATCTTTGAATAGTGAATACTATCTCAATGAACGTATACAGTTGGACTTTGCAAATAGTCACTTTCCTGAGGCCCATTTTAACTACAACGACTTTCAAGTCAGTTATGCAAACTCTACTCTGAAGAAATATCTCTTGGATTATGTTGCATTTAAAAATCGTGCTTTGTTCGTTATTGATTGTTCAAAGCAAAAGGAAACCATGAAAACGACTACTGATCATGTGAAATTGGATATCGAAGCCGATACTGGATTCCTGGGCAACACTAAAGCCTACTGTATAATTATTCATGATTGCTTAATGGAGTACTTTCCCCTCACCGAAATTATTAAAAACATCTCATAAAAATCGTTATCATCAGATCCAAAACAGACATCATGAGAATCGCACTCGTCGACATTCAAGGCTTCATCGTTGATGACTTATTTGTACCTAAAGAATTAAGTATCAAAATTGGTTTGAAGACGAGCCATTACATCTTTACGCCTCCGCAACCTTTTGCTACATTAAGTAATAAAGACAAAAAAACTGCATCGTATTTAGAGAAGAATTTACATGGTATTAAATACTCTTCGGGCAACGTAGAATATTCCAAGTTGAATAAAATACTTGAGAATAAGTTGTTGCTTGCTGCAGACTATGTTTATGTTCGAGGAGAACAAAAAGCAGAATTTTTACTTAAGAAATGCAAGATTTTAGGCGTTTTTCCCAACATTATTAACGTTTGCAAGTATGATGGTACGCCCTGTGCAACTGGGAACTTTGCCCCTGATATCAACCCATGTCATGTCACTGGACAATTTTCTTGCACCTAACGAAATGTGGAACGTCTACGCCAATGGCTTATAAATGTAATATTACCTATGTAATGGGTAGTTTTTTAAAATAAATTTTAATTCCTTAACGTATGATTTGGGTTTTATTAAACCGCCTTTCCTTTTTAAATATTAATTTTAATGCAAGATGATTCGCATTTGCGATTTACAATTTTTACAACAATATTTAACAATATTATTATTATTCCAAAAAGTATAATATATAAAAGTATAACTGATGTATCATATTGGGTGATTTCATCTTTCTCGTACCATCTTGAATCGCTCTCCGTATTATCAGGAAATATAAGCTTTATCTTATAGAATTGTCTTGACTGTATTTAAATTAATCTTTATTCAGAATTCGTGGTATTTTTGCATGTGATTAGTAATCTAACATATGCATCTGTTCTAGAAATTTCAATTGCAACGAAGTGTTTAAAATTAGTTATGTGAACATGTGTCTTTCCGGAAATTCCAATTACAAGATAATATTTTCTATCTATACAACGTGTATGAAAAATTAGGAACGTCTATGCGATTTTTCCTAAAAATTAATAGGGGTAAATTTCGAGGCTTATGTATTCGGTAAATTTATTCTCAATGAATCGGACCAATAGAAATAAAGATATAAGTTTTAAGTCCTTCTGGCTTTCGTTCTACGCGTGATTTTTCTGTTCGACGTTCATCTATATCACGCTCTCTACATAATCACGTTTTTCCCGTTTAAGTCTGACCAACAATAACAAAGATATAAGTTTTAGGCCCTTTTGGCCTGACACTGCGCATGAGTTTTTTCTTCAACGTTCATTTATATCACGTTTTCTACGTAATACCGTTCTTCTTGTTTCAATCGGACGAATAGTAGCCGAGAAACATGTTTAGGTCTTTTTGGCTTTCGTTCTGCACATTATTTTTCTCTTTAACTTTCATCTATAGCACGTTCTCTACATAATCACGTTTTCCCGTTTAAATCTGACCAGTAATAACCGAGAAACACGCTTAGGCCCTTCTGGATTTCGTTTTGCGCATTATTTTTCTATTCGACGTTCATCTGTACCGCGTTCTTTACATAATTCCGTTTTTGCCGTTTGAATCGAACCAGTAATTTCCGAGAAACACGCTAAGACCCTTCTGGCTTTTCGTTCTGAACATGATTTTTTTGTTCTACGTTAATCTGTACCACGTTCTCTACATAATGCTGTTTTTCCCGTTTGAATCGGACTAGTAATGTTTGAGACACATTAGGTCCTTTTGGCTTTGGTTCTGTACATGATTTTTCTCTTCAACGTTCGTCTATACCACGTTCTCTCCATAATGGCGTTTTTCCGTTTAAAATCTGACTAACAATAACAAAGATATGAGTTTTAGATCCTTTTGGTCCGACACTGATGATTTTTCTCTTCAACGTTCATTTATTATGCGTTCTCTACATAATGCCGTTTTTTTCGTTTGAATCGGACCAGTAATATCCGAGAAATACGCTAAGATCCTTCTGGCTTTACGTTCTGCGTATGATTTTTCCGTTCGACGTTAATCTATACTGAGTTATCTACATAATAGCGTTTTTCCCGTTTGAATCGGACCAATAGCAATAAAGATACACACTTACGTCGTATATTTTTCATTGTTTACGTCAACGATTGCCGCCATCTTGGATTCACTACGTTATCTAACCGCGAGCTAATGTTATCATATTTACTAATAAGCAAGACTTCGATTCTAAATAATCCAACAATCAAATTTATGCGCCGACCACGTTGTCAGCATGGTAATACAGAATTTACGGTGAGTTCTCCATGGAAAAAACACCATCTACGATGGTATTTTCCTCAAGCAATACCTGTAGCTCTTACCAACGTACAAACGGCTTTCCAAATGTGACAAAATACTTCGATATTAACGTTTGAAATGGTTACTTCCCCTAGTATAACATCTCCTGATATTACTATAACTGTTTGCAAAACTTATTATTTTAGAACAAATTGTATGGATAATGAGGAATGCACGTTGACCCTTGACGGACGCAGTCTTGTTGGCGAAGCAAGTGCCATTGCGAAAACTGCTATCGATGCTAAAACGCTCGTAAGAATAGGTTTCATCCTGCTCATCGCAGAATCAACACTTATCTTTTGGTATCGTTTTCATCGCATAATCAACACTTTTAGTTTCTCCCATTGACTCACCGATGTTGTTTTTACTTTGTTGGGTCTACATTTAAGAATAGGTTTCATCCTCCTCGTCGCAGAATCTACACTCAACTTTTAGTTTCTCTCGTTCCCTCACTGCCGTTACGTTTTGCTAGGCATACATGTAAGAATAGGTTTCATCCTTCTCATCGCTGAATTAACACTCATCTTTTAGTATCGTTCTCATTGCATAATCAACACTTTTAATTTCTCCCATTAGCTCACCGATGTTATGTTTTTACTTTGTTGGGTCTACATTTAAGAATATGTTTCATCCTCCTCGTCGCAGAATCCACACTCAACTTTTAGTTTCTCTCATTCCCTCACAGCTGCTATGTTTGTTACTTTGTTGGACATACATTTAAAAAATAGGTTTCATTCTCCACATCGTAGAATCCACACTTTCTTATTTTAGACGTCCGCTTATATATTTAACCACTAACTTTGATTTTTCAGGTAGGAGAATTTTTCAATATTTTTCCCGTAATCTACACATAAATACCTTTTCAACGAGGTATGACATGCTCCAGGGCGGGGGTGGCCCCGGGGTCGCTGACCGCGGGGGCGGAGGTGCGGGTCGCCTGGCACGAACCATGCGATCCCACTATGCCTCACCAAGTCCGCGCGAATCGTTCCCCTCTCTCTAACACATTGATTTCCCATACCTATAGGTACCTCTCTCTCCAACACATTGATTTCCCTATACTGGTAGTGGTACCCGTATAGTATATCTACTTTTTTAATATGAGGATATACGAGGAAATCTTGGAAATTGTGGAAGATACATTAAGAAGGAGGAATAGATATATCCAGGCCTATAAAACTATAGGAGAGGTATTAGGAGAAGAAAATGACGGACGGGAATATAACGAACGAAATATCATCGTTGGATTTATAAAAGATCCCGTTATGAACGTCCGAAGACGAGAATTTAATTTACCGGAGAGTAGAAGTGAGACTGCAGCGATCTTTCAAGGAACAGAACCACCGTTCGAAGTAGCCTTAATTCTATATCCACATAATCCAAATACATCTCAACCTCACCGGAGACACCACGAATTGAAAAATCTAAATCCAATGGCTTATCCATTGCTTTTGCCATTAGGAGATAACGGTTACTCAACCGATTTGTATTAAAGCGATAATAGGTTAAATCGTAATAAGCGGAGGAAAAATATTACATTAATGAATATTATAGATATCGACTGAACGTTCGCGACGGTTTCTCCACATTGCATAGTGGTGGTAAGTTATTTCAACAATTTATTGTTGATAGTTGGTGTAAGATCGAATCCAACCGCTTGTGGTGGATTCGACAAAATCAAGAAAAATTTAGAATAGCCACTGAAGAAGCCGTTCGACGACTTCAACGTGCCGCCGATCGTCGCGAACTTCCTCGCGTTGGTAGATCGGTCATTATTCTACCATCTGCATTCGAAGGGGGTGAACGACATCGTCAGAGACAATATTTAGGACGCGCGCAAAAATCGGAACATAGACCCGAATTGGTATGTCGCGTTTTTCATGCCAAATTAATGGACGACCTTGTACAGAAGCAAATTTTCGGGGTCGTACGTAACTACCATTATGTCATTGAATTTCAGAAGAAGGGCCTACCACATGCCCATATTGTAGTTACTATGCACAGTAAAGGGGCTATGTTCATTCTGCCTCATTCCCCATGTTAAATCCCATAAGAAATCGCTAAGGTTCATTCTGGCAATTTTTGTCTAAAAGTCCAAAGGTCAATCGAAGTTCGAAGTCTGGGTTATCAGTAAACATGATAACGTCGAAAATCCAAGATGGCGGTAATAGTTGACGTAAACAATGAAAAATAAGCAAAAAATTCAACCTACCCTCCTCCACCCCCACAACCCCCTCATGCTTATAAAATATGGTCGGTACATGCGATACATCGTTGAAAAGGTCTTAACGTACAGAGTAAGGGAAAAATAATGAAAAAATGTCAACTACCCCCTTTCATCCCCGTGAACCACCCTCTCATTGAAAATCGATTAATCATAGTGTGCGATACCTCGTTGGAAAGGTCTTAACGTACAGAGTAAGGGAAAAATAACCAAAAAATTACACCTACCCTCCTTCACCCCCACAACCCCCTCATGCTTATAAAATATAAAACATGTGATACGTCGTTGAAAAGGTCTTAACGTACAGAGTAAGGGAAAAATAATGAAAAAAATTACACCTACCCTCCTTCACCCCCACAACCCCCTCATGCTTATAAAATATAAAACATGTGATACGTCGTTGGAAAGGTCTTAACGTACAGAGTAAGGGAAAAATAATGAAAAAAATTACACCTACCCTCCTTCACCCCCACAACCCCCTCATGCTTATAAAATATAAAACATGTGATACATCGTTGAAAAGGTCTTAACGTACATAGTAAGGGAAAAATAATGAAAAAATTAATCTCCTTTGACAGAAAAACGGCATTATGAAGAGAGCGTAGTATTGATTGACGCCGAAAAAGAATTTTTGCGTAGAACGAAAAGCCAGAAGGGCCTTAGCGTATATCTCAGCTATCGTTGGTCCAATTCAAACGGGGAAAAACGGCATTACGTAAAGAACGATTAACATACAAGAGAAAAATCATGCGCAATGCCACAAGGGCCTTAGCGTGTATCTTCACTCGATTTAAATGGGAAAAAATGGGGGTATGTGCACCAAAAAGTTTGACGTTTGACGACTGACGTTTCACGTTTGACGTTGTGGAATAGAAAAAGCATGCGCAATGCCATAAGGACCTTAGCGTGTATCTCAGCTATACGGGAAAAACGGCATTACGTAGAGAATGATTAACGTAAAAGAGAATTTTTGTGTAAAGCCTGAAAGGCCTTAGCGATTCAAACGGCTACGTGTAGAGAATGACATCTAGTTGTCATTTCGCACATGCGCAGTTCATAATGCCGTTTTCATATCTTCGTTAATATCGATCGGATTTGATCGTTGAAAATGGTAGATGACAATATCATCTAGATGGCATGTGCACATGCGCAGTTCAAGGGTCAGTTCTCGCTTGTCACTTTATATCTTCGTTAATATCCATCAGATGGCGATCATCGTTCACGTGAACTAGCCATATACAAGATGGCGGAGTCAAAAGGACCTGTCAACCGTCAAGGTTCGTTGCTATTGGTCGGAAAGGAATGGGGAAACAGTTGATGTATTCGTTACGTTTCGTCACGTTTCGTTACGTTTCGTTACGTTTCGTTACGTTTCGTTACGTTTCGTTACGTTTCGTTACGTTTCGTTACGTTTCGTTACGTTACGTTTCGTTACGTTTCGTTACGTTTCGTTACGTTTCGTTACGTTTCGTTACGTTTCGTTACGTTTCGTTACGTTTCGTTACGTTTCGTTACGTTTCGTTACGTTTCGTTACGTTTCGTTACGTTTCGTTACGTTTCGTTACGTTTCGTTACGTTTCGTTACGTTTCGTTACGTTTCGTTACGTTTCGTTACGTTTCGTTACGTTTCGTTACGTTTCGTTACGTTTCGTTACGTTTCGTTACGTTTCGTTACGTTTCGTTACGTTTCGTTACGTTTCGTTACGTTTCGTTACGTTTCGTTACGTTTCGTTACGTTTCGTTACGTTTCGTTACGTTTCGTTACGTTTCGTTACGTTTCGTTACGTTTCGTTACGTTTCGTTACGTTTCGTTACGTTTCGTTACGTTTCGTTACGTTTCGTTACGTTTCGTTACGTTTCGTTACGTTTCGTTACGTTTCGTTACGTTTCGTTACGTTTCGTTACGTTTCGTTACGTTTCGTTACGTTTCGTTACGTTTCGTTACGTTTCGTTACGTTTCGTTACGTTTCGTTACGTTTCGTTACGTTTCGTTACGTTTCGTTACGTTTCGTTACGTTTCGTTACGTTTCGTTACGTTTCGTTACGTTTCGTTACGTTTCGTTACGTTTCGTTACGTTTCGTTACGTTTCGTTACGTTTCGTTACGTTTCGTTACGTTTCGTTACGTTTCGTTACACGCAACGCACACAACATACACAACGCACACAACATAGGTATGCATTTACAATGATCACGTCAAAGGGCCTAAGCTTATATTTTGATAGTCCGATTCGAACGGAGCAAACGATTAAAATGTTGTTAGCGATGTAGCATCCACATCCGAAAAGATGTGATGTATCATCGAAGTTGTCATCGAAAATGATATCATCGCTTCACCTATCATCTATACATAGAAATATACAACCCATTGTCCTTAAGAGGCGGTCACACGCTTCACATAACATCTACTATACATAAGGTAGCTGAGGTAGAAAAGTTATTTGTAATAGGGTAAAGTCTATACTAGACAATAAAAAAAATATTTTCTCTTAAAAATATATTTTAGCAGTAATCATATTTACAATAACTCAATAAGTTGTCTCTGTAGTTCAACTTTTAATAATTAATAATAATACATGAACCAGCCACTCTTAATCGAAAAAACAAACTAATACTCCTATAAAAATGGGGTATGACCAAGTTGTCATGCTGTCCCGCCAATTCAGCAATTCAAAGGCTCTGGGACTGGGGGAAGGAGAGTGACAAAATAAAGTCAAAGATATTGAATTAATTAATAATTATAATTAGTAACATTACGATTGATTATTTTAAGGTGTTATAGTCAAAACGGTGATATGAGTCATTTTATTTTTCGACAACCAAATATTCTAAATACGAACGACTTTTCGAAGCGTCTCCACAATTTTCTGTACCTACATAGTTGAATACGTCGAAATACAAATTGATTTTAAAAATTAATAAAAATTTAAGAAATATTAAACTAAAAAAATAGTTCTCCTGTTTTTGTGATAGTTTTGTTCCCTTTAGGACCTACCTCATTAGAAAGTAAGTTTTAAAAATAAAAACACTAATAATAGATCAAAACATTTTTATTTTTTTCTATACAAACAGAGTTTGGTATGAATTGAAGAGTTTGGTATAAAAGTTATAATTAAAAGAAAATATACTAACTAAAAAAAAAATATTAATTTGAAAATGGGTCCACATCAACCTCCATATCACTGGGTATCGAATAATGGCCCCAAGGCAGCGTCCTGTATGATTCTGGAATAAGATAACGTTTATCATCGAAGGGTGAAAGGGCGATTTTTTCCTGCACTATAGAATGAACCTGATGTTTGGAGGATCGAATTAAATTTTGACTAATAACCTTTGCTGACCAGCTATCGAGACATTCGATGTAATCATCAAAATTGATCTTAGTCTTAACCACCGATGACTTCACACCTTGCGCCTTTTTCGTCACGCCAAAATGCCTTATCATTTCCTCAATTTCCTCCTCATCATACTCCTTCTCCTCAAGCTCCTTGCGCATTTTCAGCACAGCATCATCCGTTACCAATACTTTTAAGGAATATAATTTTGCTCTGAGTCCTACATAATCTGTCATCGGGATCCCATTATTCTCGTCCTTCATCATACCAAGCACTTTTTTGTTGACCTGAGGGATGTCAAAGATGTTCTGCTCAGGATAGTCTGACGTATCAAAGTATTTATGACAGTCACGCTTTATAACTTCGTATGGGTCTTGATGAAGCTCGTAAATAAGGGAATCGGTGTCGGTGTATAACACGGAACAGTCAGGAAAGGCATCTACCATATATCCATAATGGAAATCATAGATCGTCGTTTTCGCCAAATCGAGAATTGACTGACCAACGTAGATGGGTTTATTAAGCCAGATCTGCAGCTTCTTCATTTCCACTGCAACCAAGTTCTCGTTAAATATAGTGCAGTTTTTAAATTCAGGTTTCGATATCATCGCCTCTGCTCCATACCGCCCACTCCATTCAGTTAGAAGCCGGATATTGACCCTCTTTCGGATGTTTTCCATCGTTTTACCTGTAACAATAGATTAAGGTTAGATAAGTTTTTAAAAAATAGATTAAGATTATTAAGTGTAAGGGTTAAAGAAAAGGTCCTTTATTTCTCACAAGTCAATTTAATTGGCGACCGGTTTCGAAGCTGTCACTTCATCATCAGGCACACCTAAATGGAATGTCAAGGAGTCAGTAATAAAAACAATTATAAAAGCATGAACGGACTTTAACATATACAAAATAACAGAAAAAACACAAAAGAAGTTAAACAATAACCTTGACTATTTCCATAAAGGAAGCGCTACATAAAGTTTAACAAAACGAGTTAAAAAAGTCATATGTAATACAATAGTATTTTTTATAAATATTGTAGGTTAGGTTAAACCGCGAGATGTCTGTTTGGATAAATTAATTAAAACACATGTAAGACTATTATTAACTAAACAACACAAAATAGTTTTTACAAGCACAAACAGTTTAAAAAATTTTTAAGGATATAACGTCAATTAATAAAAGTAAAAAGTAAAAATTATCAGACTATCAAGACATCTATCAAGATTTTTTAACGAATCAATGTAGTAAACTGCAAATTTTAAATTTAGCGGATAAATAGTGTACTAACAAAGGTGTTATTTACTGAAAGTGAGTATAGGGGGCGGTGACATAATTTATTGAAAGTAAAAATATTAAACTGGGAAATGAGAAAGCAAAAATACTAACAAGAAAATTAGAACACTGAACAAGAAAATATGAAAATTCATATGTAAAAGGGAAATTTGAAGCAGATAATCAAAAGAAAAATTACTGTTACAGGAAACGGAAACTAAGTTGACAAGTACGAATGTCAAAAAAAGAGAAAAGTCAAATTTTGGCGTATGACAGCCACGTGGGAGAATTTGAATAAACTAATAAAACATTTAATAAGATGCGAGTGAGCAAAAGATTAAATAATATTTATAGTCGAAAAAGCTCACCAAAAACAGCATTGTTCATGAGTTTATAGAGGTTCTTCTCAAACTCATTTGTAGCCTTCTTCCGCAGCTCCGTGTTGAGGTCAATGTAGCTCTTCAGCCATGGAGCCTGCTTAAATCTCAACACACGATGGATCTTGGTAAGTATCAACCCGTGGGATAAAGCTTGTTTGAGGGCTCGGTAATGGATCACGTATTTTGTTTTAGGCTTAAGGGTAGCCATCAACTTGGTAAGCTCCTTTGTTGTTCTACGGGGCTTACCAGTCTTCGGGTCGATATGCTGACCACAAAAAGGTAGATCTTTATGTTGATCATGAAGATGTTGAGGGTACTCGAGATCAACTTCCAGCATGTACCCCTCTGATGCATCGTCAGAAATGGACAGAACGTCGATGTTGGTATCTACCCATTCGAAACCTCCATACGGCAGATACTGGCTCATCGCCCAACCATACTGATTATTAACGTCAAAGTACATAAGGAACGATCTGGGCTTACTGGGGTCGTAATTATTGATATACTGATTGTTTGCATGGGCTCGCCTTTTGGAGCAGACTTGACTAAGCCCTCCTCGAATGCCTCGCTCAACAAACAAAAACATGTCAACATCAGTCAGCAGCTCCAGTTCCTGCTTGGTATACTTCAACATCGCATCCCACGTAAATCCAGGTAAAGTATAATAGTGGGCAGGGTCAAGACCGTATGTTTTATGGCAGCTAGAACGGAACCGTTCAAAGACGTCGGCAAGAAGCATGATATCAGTCTTCATGTATAAGTCAACGTATTGCCCAAGATCTTTGCATCCAAACTTATTCCATACATGCTTTGCTCGAAGGTAAAGCCTACGAGGACACGGCCTATCCTCTAACTTGTTGAAGAATTTATCAATATGCGGCAAAGAAGTTTCCCCAAATCGATCGAATGAATCGATGTAATCATAAGGCATTATTCCTTTCTTGGTTAATAAATTAAACTGGTCTTCTGGCAACTCTTGGAACTGAGATTTTAAATTTGGATGTTCAGGTAAATATGAAGCAAGCTTATCCAAAGAAGAGGCCATAAATCGGAAACTATCGATAAAACGGAATTGAATAGGACACTCATCAATATGTTTGGTGAAGGAAATATACTTTTCCTTGGTGATGGGCAGCAAATCGATAGTTCCTTTCATTCGTGTGGCAATATCTGTGATTACAAAGTGGGCATCATATCCTGATAAATTGTGAAACACCACAGGTACAATGTGAGTGTCTTTGTAATTTATATTACACCCTTCATGGGCGGGACCTCTATAGTTGTTTTCGGGGATTAAATGAAAATGATCGCGCACTTTCTTATCTTCAGTTGTGAATGGTTCCTCGCATATATGACAATGAGTTGCTTTTTGAAATTCCGCTTCCTGAGTAGGAGTCATGTGAATATCATAAGGACACCAAAAGACCGTTGCCATATCTTCTGCTAGCTGTGCCATCTCATCAGCGAACCACTGCATACAGTCAACACCTCGATAAGCTCGATAGAACGACAAGGAGTCATCATAGCTGCACTTTAAATAGTATCCAACAGCAGCTGGAACGTGTTCCTGCGGTTTCTTAAGATCGTTGGTGGGTCTTAGGACGCTTTCCAGATCGGCATACACACTGAAAGGAACCTTTTCTTTATTCTTATGATTTTTAAACCTGAGAAGGTTTTTTCCAGGTTCAGGCATCTTGATCGCAGTCTCATTAAACTTCTTGCAGTCCTCAAGATGTTTGTCCAACTTCACTTTTGTATGAAAGTAATGTAGACACCGATCACAGAAAAACTTTTTATTGTGGTTAGATGACAACTGTTGCGATAGTAGTCTGGAAAGGCTTTTTATCCACACATAATGGTATGTTGTAGGAGCATCATCATAACGATCTTGAATAAGCAAAAGATTTACATGTCGATCTTTTTTATCCTTTGTAAGGTAAGTTGGTAATGTGGCAAACGGCTTTTTTTCTTTTTGTAGGATATAAACGTTAACAGATACATCATTCTGCTTCTCGAAATTTGGAATTTGTTTCATGGTCATAGGAAATTGAATTCCTTTGAGCTTAAGGACTGTGGAGTAATGTGGGTATGAAGAAACTCTATCAGAATTTTTATGTATAGGATATAAAGCAGATGTAATGGCCCAAGCAAAACATGCCTGGTCATCGTTCTTAACGTTCACGCATGCTTTTTTATTTGCAATTTGAGGAGGCAGCTCGACATACGAGGATCCAAGTTGGGGTGTAAACTTGTTAATATTAACCCCCAAATTTATCACCTTCTTCAACGCCCAGCCACTGTCACGTTCTTGAAACTCCTCAAGCTCATTCATGATTGGCCTAATTACCTTTTCTTCAAACCATTCATCAAGATTGGTGTCTCTATAAATTGGCGAATTTGAGGTAGTAAAGTACTTGTGCTCTACCTGCACACGATCTCCCTTCACCACCTCAAACTCTCCCCCGAAAGCTGTGTTGACCTTAACAGCCTCATCTTTTTTTAAAGCCGCCTGTATCCTCCGCTTAAATAAAACCTTAGCATCGATCAAAAAAGCCTTGGGATCCTTATGGTTTAGATTACTGATTACACCCGTCCGGATGCGGCTATTGAATGCAGTATCGGAATCATTCCAGCGAACATGATCCCTTGCAGTTTCATTTCTAGATTTAAGCCCGGTCCCCTTTTTTACCATAGCTTTTACCTGGTTGTGATAAGTCTTTATATTTCTTAAGCATGCCTCCAGATGTTGCTTCTCACCCATCGTTTTGGCATTTTTCAATGCATAATTTATACGCTTTATCCCCTTTTGACACTCTCGTAGTCCTTTTTGGGCTACCGCTTCATCATAACTCGTAGATAGCAGACCGAGAAAACCAGCAATGTATCGAACCAAATCCGTAAACAGAGCCATTATATTACACCAAAGTATATTTAATTCTTAAGATGCGTCTTCACTGCACAATAATCTGAAACAACATTATTAAAGTTAGCTGTGTAAGCATCTTTATTAGCTAAAGTTATGTATGTGTCGGTGGATTGTAGCAAATAAAATAAATTTATGATTCTTAAAGTCGGCTGATCAGATAAGCTGAGTCACAAGAAGATTAGAAATTAAATGAGTGTGATCAGATATTGTAAACTTCTACTTGAACGAAAAACTAAATGGGTTTTTTTTTGCAAATTGAAAGACCCCGTTTGTGCGTTTTCGTCATAAGAAAACACGTAAAAGTTGTGCCTATTTAGACGCTAGGATGGGATACTTTTTAATAATATTTCCCCCTTTTGTTTAAAGTTGAAGCTGACAGGCTTCTAAAATTATAGAAAACAACAGTAATGTCTTTTACCAATATTAATCAATTTTAATACTTATTATCGTTGAAATACAAAATAATTTAACTTAAAATTTATCAAAAATTACTAACGCAAAATTTTCAAAAATGATTAAAACTCAGATTTAGTTAACACCTTAATAGCTTATTCAATAGAAATAAGAAAATGTATACTTACACGTAAAAGTGCCCAATATTACAAATGTTGTAGGTAGGATGCGCTCCAATGTTTTAACAAGAAAATGTATATTTCAACAGTTGGATATGTTCTAATACTTTAACAATCTGAAACAAAAGTTAATAGGTATAAGGTAAACTTTTGGTCGGACGGAAGACTAAACGGTTTAAAAAGTTTTTAAGAAGGCCTCTGAATTTATCAAATTTGTGTGTTCTCCCCTATAAGAAACCATGTAAAAATGGTGCATTTTAACTCTAATCACCCATTTTGATACTTTTTAAGTGAATTTAATATTAGACATAAAATGTTGTCACGTGGGCGTTTGTCAATATGAGCGTTAATTGTTTTCAAAAAGGCCCCTGTCTTCATCAAATTTGTTCACGTTTATCCATAAGAAACCATGTAAAAATGGTGAATTTTAACTCTAATCACTCATTTTGATACTTTTTAAGCGAATTTAATATTAGACATAAAATGTTGTTACGTGGGCGTTTGTCATTATGAGCGTTAATTGTTTTCAAAAAGGCCCCTGTCTTCATCAAATTTGTTCACGTTTATCCATAAGAAACCATATAAAAATGGTGCATTTTAACTCTAATCACCCATTTTGATACTTTTTAAGTGAATTTAATATTAGATAGAAAATGTTGTCACGAGGGCGTTTGTCATTATGAGCGTTAATTGTTTTAGATAGAAGGTAATGTTGAAGAAGTGTCACGTGGGTGTGTGTCATTAAAGCTTTAACGCTAAAAATTTAATCATTCTTTATCTAGCACTCATACAGAGCAGTCGCATAAGAATGACTAACCTTATTCGTGAGTATATTAGACTTAACCTTATTAAAAGATGTATCGAGCAAGAATTTATTCAAGCCAATTATTGTGGAGTATGCTTAGCTGGAAGTTTGATATTTTACGAAGTGGCTAAGAAATATGATATAACAACAAAAGTACAAGTGGGCACTAAACTTTTCTCAAATGGTACTAAAATAACACCTCATTTTTGGATTGAACATAATGATATAATATATGATCCTACAGTAGCCATTACTCAACATTATCTACCGCACAATCTTAACGTTACTTATACACGAGAATATAAGTTAAAGAATGCTGAAGACATAAAAATGATTAAAGTTTATCAGGCATTTGAGAAGAATAAATCCGCATCCGCTTATTTTAGTGAAGCCCCCAAACATCTATTAGAAGTTCGTAAAAATATTTATCAAAATGTAGAAAAAATATTTAATAAATAAAATTTTAATGCATCTATTTGTTATTTTATCACATAATCTTGGTATTATTCCTCAAAAGACAAAAGACTACCGAAGACCCATCATATTTAACCACCAAAAACATCTGTAGCCAGCTGAAGTCTTCAGAAATCTTCTGAAGTCACCTGAAGACTCCTCTGAAGACATCTGAAGACCACAGAAACACTATTTATAGGGGTGTCACATCAAAATGCTTCAGTTATAATAGGGCAATGGATACGTCACGTAAACGAAAAATTGTAGAACTTAGACGTATCATTCGAAAAAAGTATAACACCTTAAAGAAAATGGAAGATGATAAAAATGAACGAATAGAAAATATACTAGGCCCTATTACAGAACCTTTGAAAGAAATAGCTGAAGTAAACGAAAAAAACGAATATCTAGATAAATACAATGAAAAATGTATCGATTATGATAACTGCTATGGACCTGTTTATATAGATAATAAATGGCTAATGGGTACTAAGGAACTAGAATTTGATAAACATAATATAGTTCTAGGTGATACCAAGTTTAATGCTACTCCTGGTTTATATGAATTATTATTTTCTAAGAAACCAACAAATTTTACTCCTAAGGACCATCAACTTTACAAACAAATTTTGGATATAACTAGCGCTCATCTTGATTCAAGAGAACATCTGAGGCATCAAGCTGACAAATTAAAGTTTAGTTCCATCATTAGACCTCTATTTAAAAATAAGACAAAATCTAAAAGTTTTAAAAATGCTGTTGAACGAAGACGAAACATGCGAGATGATATGAAAAACATTAAGCAAATACCGGGGAATACTAGACGTGTAAAACCCATGGAAAGATTGTATGAAGAAGACAATGAATATATTTACCGGAATGATCCTAACGAACTTTGCGATCGATTGAAGTTGTTGATGGCTTCGAAGAATGCTGGAAATACTTCGGTAAACAACGAAATCGCTAAAATAATCGACGAACTTCGAGAAGCAGATATCATATATTAGAGTACATTACATATTATAATCATTTTCATCATGAGTCTCGATAAGTTTGGACGTAGACGACAAAGTAATGGTGCTCCAACGAATAATATAACGCAGTTGGAAAGCAGATTCAAAAATGTTTTTGATATGAAAAATTCTACGCTAAATTCAAATATCAGCAAGTTAAATGATATTGTGAACGTTATCAACAGTAAAAGAAAGGACCTTAAAACATTTACATCGAGAAATCCACCTACAGCAGGTAAACATATGGCAACCAAAAAAAAAAAACGTAGATGATGCGATTAAAACAAACAAAGGATTCCTTCGTAGTGATATAGCAAAAATTAAAACTGATACAGACAACGAATATAATACCAAAATACAATCACTTAATACAGTTTTGGAAGAGATTGAAAAAACGTTGACGCCTCTACGTTCTGATATAAATCAAATCCAAACTCAATTACAACAACTGTATAATGAAGATCTAAAAAATTACGTGATGAGCTTTTGATTAAAATGACTGATATTACAAATTTAATGTCAAAAAATATTAAGCAGCTAAACGATCAAATTAATACAGTTCCAAATGACGTAATTGATGATGTAAAAAAAGAGGTGGGATTATTACAAAAAAATCTAAATGGCATTAATCAAATTACAAAAACCAATGAAAATGAACTAAAAGTATTGCAAAACACTTTACAAAGCACCAATCAAATAACGAAAACCAATGAAAAGGACTTATTATTACTACGTGAAACTGCAAATGTTCAATTTTCAGAAATTGACTTGAATATCAACGATTTACAATCACGAATTACAAAACTATCTGCAACACCTTAATTTGTATCAGTCATCATGTCAAGGGAAAAGATTCGAAGCGAATTGCTTCGACCTGCACGCAAAAACTATTCTAGACGTCGTACAATTATTAAGGATTTGGATGATTTATGGTAAATGGATTTGACTGAAATACACCCTTATGCACATTAAAATGAAATGATCTGTAATTATTATTATTATTACTAATAAAATAAATTGGGTATACTCGCTTGTTTTAATACATTCTCACTAATAATGTTTTAAAGTATATTTCACCTATAACCCCCGTATATGTAAAATTTTTAAAAGTAAATTTCTTAACTTTTCGATTACTTTATGGACCTTAATTTTCGTTCCAATTAATTTTTCATCAAGAGGAGTAAGGAAGGTAAACACTTACTTATAAAGTACAGATGTTGCTGTTGCTAGTGCTACTATTACTACTGCTACTGTTGACTGCTGCTACTGTTGACTGCTGCTACTGTTGACTGCTGCTACTGCTGGTGCTGGTGTTACTACTGCTACTGCTGCTGTTACGGCGGCCTGCTGCTACTGCTAGTGCTGCTGTTGCTACTGGTATTGTTAAAAAGAATTCATTAAAAATTTATGTAGTGCCACTTTTATTTATTAAAAAGACAAACTAAATATCATGGTAGAAACAAAAACTATTTTAATGAAAAAGAAATAGAAGTATCAGAACCGCAAGTTCTTGAAAATTATCAATAAACATCAATTTAAAATCCTTAAAATTATTTAAATTTCTTTAGCGCTATATAAATTTCATCAAAATTTACGCTACTGTTTAAAATCTAATGAAGTCTCTGTCTCTGATTCCCCTTTAAATTCCCCAAAATTTCTTATTTGCCCTATAACTCTCGTATATCTATAATTTTGTAAAGTACATTTTCTAACTTTTTGATTACTTTATGGACCTTAATTTTCGTTCTATTGTATTTTTTTTATCATCAATATGTCACATGTCAATAGTTACTGAAGGCGAAAACTTACTTATAATTTCCTCCTGAACTCCAGTACAGGGTGCTGCTGGGTTCTGCTGTTGGTGGTACTGCTGCTGCTGGTATTGTTATTGGTACTGCTATTGGTATTGCTGTTGGTACTGCTGTTGGTGCTGGCGATACTGGTGTTTAGAAAAATATCTAATGAAAAATATGTTTTATTATAAAAGTGTGGTTTTAAAACTTATAAGAGTGTGTTTTATACTTACTTTTTTAAAAATTGACACAGCTAGTTACTAAAAGAATAAGTTTCCTCTACTACTTTTTCTGCGTTTATCTCTTCTGCTTTTGTCAACTACGCTGCTTTTTCTTGTTTTGTTCTATAAAAATAATAAAATATTAATAGTACAGGTGTTTACAGTTTAATGCTACAGGTAGTATCATTTAAAAAATATGATTGAATAAATGGAAGAAACATGCTCATCTATATAGATAGCAGACAAGAAGTACCTGAACAGACCACGAATTTATTCAGGGTTAGTACTAGCCAAGAAAGCAGCCAACCAAATACTTTTTGGACCTGGCCCTTCTATTGGCCCGACAAAATCGACAGACCTAATCAGACCTTGTGAAATTCCAGATGGGATGAAACAAGAAACTGTAAAGTTGCCAAGGAGATTTTAAGTTATCATGACAACACTACAGCAAACAAATACTTGACTATGACTAGTCACAGGCATTCTGACTGGTCATTGTCAAGTACGTAAGCATCTGTCAGGGCTGTCAGAATCCGCACTCTGCAGAGGGTGCGAACAAGAAGATGAGACCATCGCGTATATTCTTTATGATTGCTCTCATTTATTAGAAGATTTGTATATTGACTAACACCGACCGATATAAGAGAAGCGCCTCTTATACGACGTTGTCAACTACATTAAATCTGGTTCACGAGCTAGGAGGTGCCTATATATTTAGGAGGATGCACAATGGGACTAATGAGGCCTAAGTGCCGTGGGGTAACCCACCCTCTACACGTTACAGATACAGAGATCGAAACGAAAAGTAAAAATAGAATTGTCAAAAGTACAGGTAGTGACTTTTAAAAATAATTTCTAAAAAATAGAATTGTCAAAAGTACAGCCTTTTAAAAATATGATTAAATAATATCTAAAAAATAGATTTGTCAAAAGTACAGGTAGTGACTTTTAAAAATAATATCAAAAAAAAAATAGATTTATCAAAAGTAGTGGTAGTACCTTTTTGATTAAATAATTTCGAAAACATAAAATTGTCAAAAGTACTGGTAGCGCCTTTTAAAAATAATTTCTAAAAAAATAGAATTGTCAAAAGTACTGGTAGTGCGGTGTCTGGATTATAAAATCTAATAATTAAAAAAATAAAACAAAACATGGTGACTGAATTTAAATCAAAAGTATACTTAAAATCGTTTACATAAAAATAAATGGATGGTTAGAAATTAAAAAAATATGTTAAAGTCTTTTCAAAAACAGAGAGACCGAAAAATCCATTTGAATAAATAATTATTATTAAATTCGAAACAAAATCTAATAATAAAATACATATTTCTTACCTTAGTATTAATTTCCACACACAAACAACTATTAGTATTCACGCTTTACTTCTTGCTGGATACTGACAAATAATGGCTAATTCTGGTGTTATTTATATTTTCGAAGTATCAGACGATAATTCTAGAAATTTCCAAGTTCACCAACAAGAGATATATTTTTCCTATTAATACGGTATGAGAATTTTGCTATCATTTTTTCACGGAAATGCTTTTCCGGTATATTTGGTTTTGGTGTTTGATAATTTTCCTATAAATTTTAAAGTTTCAACAATTGTGGCCTGTTATCGGTGTATGTGTTGTTTAAAATTTTATAAATGTATGATACAGAATGTCCTATATTATTGCAAATCAATATCCATTTTTGTTTTTGATCTCTATGATATTTCAGGTGGGCTATATTTACACCGGTTGTTGGACGATATATGTATTGTTTAAAATTATATTTATGTAGACAATATTAATATTTGTCTAATAAAGCACCTTTAGAGAGCTATTTACGTTAGTTTTTGGATGCATTTAGAACACCTTCATAAAAACAGACTTATTTGATTTATGGATCAAACTGATTAGTTTGATCTGTATCTAAACACTATGGCTTAAAAAATATTTCTAACACCATGTTTTAACGTCAATTCCTCTAATGGCACACTAAACTACACTACATATTGAAATTTTAGAGCTACATGCCGAATGGTCACGTGGTTGACCTAATATATGTTGTAAAACGTTATTAGATACCTAAGGAGTTTAATGGTACCGTCAAACTTCTTATCGCATTTTGATCTGGAGGAAGTTTAGTTATAGACGCTATATGAAAAATTTTGATGCCATTGTATTCTATTTGCTTCACAATATACATTACAGGTTTTGTTTACTCGACCAAAAGCCTTTTCGTGGTTAAAAATGACGTATCTTTGCATCTAAAACACCTACAAACAAATAGACTTCAGATTCTTGATTTATGGATCATACTGATTGGTTTGATTTATATCTAAACACTATAGCTTAAAAAATATTTCTAACACCATGTTTTAACGTCAATTCCTTGAATAGCATACTAAACTACACTACAAATTTAAATTTTAGAGCTACATGCTGAATGGTCACGTGGTTGACCTAATATATGTTGTAAAGCGTTAATTGTAAATGCATACCTATGTTGTGTGCGTTGCGTGTAACGAAACGTAATGAAACGTAACGAAACGAAACGTAACGTAACGAAACGTAACGAAACGTAACGAAACGTAACGAAACGAAACGTAACGTAACGTAACGAAACGTAACGAAACGTAACGAAACGTAACGAAACGTAACGAAACGTAACGAAACGAAACGTAACGAAACGTAACGTAACGAAACGTAACGAAACGTAACGAAACGTAACGAAACGTAACGAAACGTAACGAAACGTAACGAAACGTAACGAAACGTAACGAAACGTAACGAAACGAAACGTAACGAAACGTAACGAAACGTAACGAAACGTAACGAAACGTAACGAAACGTAACGAAACCTAACGAAACGTAACGAAACGAAACGTAACGAAACGTGACGAAACGTAACGAATACATCAACTGTTTCCCCATTCCTTTCCGACCAATAGCAACGAACCTTGACGGTTGACAGGTCCTTTTGACTCCGCCATCTTGTATATGGCTAGTTCACGTAAACGATGATCGCCATCTGATGGATATTAACGAAGATATAAAGTGACAAGCGAGAACTGACCCTTGAACTGCGCATGTGCACATGCCATCTAGATGATATTGTCATCTACCATTTTCAACGTTCAAATCCGATCGATATTAACGAAGATATGAAAACGGCATTATGAACTGCGCATGTGCGAAATGACAACTAGATGTCATTCTCTACACATAGCCGTTTGAATCGCTAAGGCCTTTCAGGCTTTACACAAAAATTCTCTTTTACGTTAATCATTCTCTACGTAATGCCGTTTTTCCCGTATAGCTGAGATACACGCTAAGGTCCTTATGGCATTGCGCATGCTTTTTCTATTCCACAACGTCAAACGTGAAACGTCAGTCGTCAAACGTCAAACTTTTCGGTGCACATACCCCCATTTTTTCCCATTTAAATCGAGTGAAGATACACGCTAAGGCCCTTGTGGCATTGCGCATGATTTTTCTCTTGTATGTTAATCGTTCTTTACGTAATGCCGTTTTTCCCCGTTTGAATTGGACCAACGATAGCTGAGATATACGCTAAGGCCCTTCTGGCTTTTCGTTCTACGCAAAAATTCTTTTTCGGCGTCAATCAATACTACGCTCTCTTCATAATGCCGTTTTTCTCGTTTAAATCGGACCACGTGATACACGCTAAGGTCCTATGGCATTGCGCATGATTTTTCTGTCAAAGGAGATTAATTTTTTCATTATTTTTCCCTTACTATGTACGTTAAGACCTTTTCAACGATGTATCACATGTTTTATATTTTATAAGCATGAGGGGGTTGTGGGGGTGAAGAAGGGTAGGTGTAATTTTTTTCATTATTTTTCCCTTACCCTGTACGTTAAGACCTTTCCAACGAGGTATCGCACACTATGATTAATCGATTTTCAATGAGAGGGTGGTTCACGGGGATGAAAGGGGGTAGTTGACATTTTTTCATTATTTTTTCCTTACTCTGTACGTTAAGACCTTTTCAACGATGTATCGCATGTACCGACCATATTTTATAAGCATGAGGGGGTTGTGGGGGTGGAGGAGGGTAGGTTGAATTTTTTGCTTATTTTTCATTGTTTACGTCAACTATTACCGCCATCTTGGATTTTCGACGTTATCATGTTTACTGATAACCCAGACTTCGATTGACCTTTGGACTTTTAGACAAAAATTGCCAGAATGAACCTTAGCGATTTCTTATGGGATTTAACATGGGGAATGAGGCAGAATGAACATAGCCCCTTTACTATGCACCCGAATGACAAGATTATCGACGTTCCAGCCGTAGATCATATAATTTATGCATATATTCCAGACATTTATACACAACCGAACGTATATAGATTGGTCAAGGACTTTTACATACATACAACGTGTGGAAGGCTAAATCCTGATGCTTTATGCATGCAGGATAACAAGTGCAAGAAGTATTATCCATAAGCGTATAAACAACATACGACGTTACACGCAGGAGATAACAAACGGCCAAAGTACAAACGACCAAACGATGGACGGACGATCTATTTGAAAGAATATTGCCAGCACATTTCAAATAAACGTATAGTACCGTACAATCCGTATCTCTTAGCAAAGTTCCATTCCCACATTAATGTCGAGGTGGTCGGTTCTCTCTATACTATGAAATATTTACACAAGTATATCAACAAGAAAGACGATGCCATTACTTTATGTGGTATGTGATAATACAGCACGTGCTGGCAGAAGATCACAACCGACGAGAACACCAACGGTTACTAATGACAACGAAAGACGAGAAGGAGAAACAGAAGAAGTAATGATCGATGAAATCCGCCAATATCAAGATTTCAGGTATGTCAGCTCAATGGAAGCGACATGACGCATTTTAGAATATAAAATGCACGACCAATGTCATTCGGTGTTAGTATTGCCTGGGCACCTACACGGAGAATGCACCCTGTTATATAAAGAATTTGATGATTTTGATAACATCCAAAGACGTCTGGAGAATCGATCAAAATTAGAAGCTTTCTTCAAGCTGAATAGAGAAGACCAAGAGGCAAGACGGTATTTGTATGCGGAAATACCAGAACACTATACTTGGGATAATAAAAACTCGAATGGAAGAGACGAAGGCAAGTTAGTAAACAATTAGGATGCATGGTTGAGATAAAACCATCGTCTGACGACCAAATGGAAATGTACTTTTTACGTATATTATTATCGAAAATACGAGGACCGACGAGTTTTGAAGACTTACGAAGACATGAAGACGGTACGATTTCTGAAACACATAAAGAAGCTTGTACAATTAATAATTTAATTCGTAATACAGATGAATTTGATAGAGCCTTGGGCGAAGCTGCTCTAAAATGCCATCCTAGAAAATTACGACTTTTTGCACTATACTGTTGTGTAATTTTTGACGAGAGTATTTTAGAATTTGGACCCCTATGGACAAAGTATCGGGATATTCTCATCAAAGATTATATTGTTTTAGAAGGTTTAACGCTTTATTTAAAATTAACAATTTCATAGAGGTTACATTACAATTAGTAATTTAAATGAAGCAATTATATATTTTCCTATTCGCTATTAAACTAACAAGGTAGAAAGTAAAGGGCAACTATCCGGCTACAAGTAAACAACTAGGAAGAAAACAGAAAAGAAGAAGAGGTAGCGGAAGAATTACAGTCGAGTTTAATGTTTGGTTGTCACTTTATTTTTGATGAATTTCGCCGGAGAATTTAGAGTTTTGATGGATTTAATTATCGAAGTTGTTATTTAGTAAGTAAATAAGTGTTGTTAACGTTAAATTATTGTAAATGTTGAAAATTTTAAAACAAAGAAGAGCATTCATTTGGTTACATCTGACATAACCTTCAAATGAAACATTTTTTTTTAAAAATAATGTGACAATTGTAACGTTCTTATTATAAAATGTAATTATTGTGTTTCAGAAACAACGGGGTCATTATTATCTTAAAAATACTAAAGATGTGAACAGAAAAGAAGCTGTTAAAAGTTGGTAAGTGTAATATTTTTATTATATTTGAAAGTAAATGCGATAAAATCATTTTGTAATATTTAAATGTAATGAATTGAAAGTGGTTTCTATAATGTTTACAAATACTGAATAGATATTTTATTGTAATTGTAGATTTCGTCATGAAAATTTATATTGTGGAATTGGTGTGGTGTCCCATTAAAATTGACATGATTCTTCTATATTTATATGAGAGCAGTCTGTTTTCAAGAATTGGAACAATGTGACGGTGGCCTGGATCGGAATATCCACGACGATCGATGCTACATTTCAAATTGGTCAGTGGGGGTACCTTTTATTGTGTGTGACATCGTGGTCGTTGTCGTTGCCATTCCTGAAATCGTAGATGTCGTACACGACAATCAAAAAAACCAAACAAAAACAATGTTGGAAACGTTATTGCAAATATATTTACATATTTACTTTTATAGTTTTAAAAATATTCAGTGTATTTTAGGATAATAATTAAACATCCAGTATGTGATTTTTTGATGTCTCTGATAATGTCAAAGTGATTTACAATTTGGCTACTTTTATTTGATTGCCAATTAGGTAATGTTTAAAAAAGGAATAATTATTACAGAAAAAATGTTTCATATTGAAAATTGTATGGACATTGTACATATCTGGAAAATATTAAAATTATTTTAATGAAATAGTTATGTATGAATTTTTCAGTTTCTCTAATTGGCCTAGGTTCGGTTGCTTAGCGTTGTCATGCTGAAACAAAAAATATTGTTGTTGTTGTTGTTGTTGTTGTTGTTGTTGTTGTTGTTGTTGTTGTTGTTGTTGTTGTTGTTGTTGTTGTTGTTGTTGTTTATTCAACAAACATTATTTGCTTTAATGTTGTTAAATTTTGCAGGTGAATGAAAAAGATTTTAGGTAATTGTAGTTTTATATTTATTAATATTTATTCCATTTTAGCTTTTTTCGATACTTTCGATACTGGGATAATACAGTTGAACAGGTAAAGATTTTTTTTTTGAAAAGAGAAACATTTATTTGGGAGTACATTTTTTTATTTAATGTATGTGTAACTAATAGATAGGTATAGAAAGGTAAAAATATGATATTTGTTTTTTATTCCTTTTGAATTAACATATCTATTCGTAAACTATATTCAACATGTTATCTATATACATTCAAATGGTAAATATTGAAGTTAACGTTTTTACGTTAACTTCAATATTTACAGAATACATTTTTTTGTATTTTTCTTATAAGTTGCTAGACGATTCCTGGATGAACATTTTCAAAAATCTTTATATGTTAGGAGGTCTACGAAAAAATTTTGAATTTCATATGATTAAGTTTTGTTTTATAGTATTATATGTAGATTATTTTCTGTTTCTTATATATTAAAATGTTTATTTTACATTTTTAGGTTGAATTATTGCAAGTTATTTTCAATCACCCTTGGCTTTTTGGAAGCAATCATTTCGTGAGTACATTTTCTAATTTAATATAATATATACAATATAATTTTTTTAAATAATTATCAAGTTATTTTAAGATAAATAATCTCTTGATTTATTTAAAATTAAACATACATACTTACTTTCAGTTTTAAGATATTGAGATTAAAATTGCAAAACTTTCCATTAAAATGTGTATATATCTTTAGGTTATGTTAGGTTAAGCTTAAGAAGAAGAAGGGGGAGGAGCGGAGGAGTAGTAGCTGATAGCTTCGTTGCTAAGGAGGAGCAGGAGGAGAAAAGGAACATTTGTTTGGAGAGCAAATTTTCTATTTTAATATATGTGGATATAAACTTTTTTTAAATACATTGACAAGGTATTTTAAGAAAAATAATGTCTTGATTTATTAAGAATTATACTTAAATACTTTCTTTCAGTTTTAAGGTATTAATAAGGTAAATAAATGTACAGGTAAAAATTCTCCATTGAAATTTTTGAAATTTTTCATTCTATACGAGCTGTTTGAAAAATTTTGCATTACATATTTAACGTAAATAAATTTTTATTAAAATTCCTAATTTTGATTCTATAAATTTTTACATAGGGAGGTATTTGTCGTTTATTTATTTTCTTTTTTCCTAATGTTAATTAAAATAAATTTTTATTTTTTGGTAAAAAAAATTATCTTTATAAATGTTGTGCAAAGTGTGTGACCACCACCACCACCTATATACATTAAAATGTGTATATATCTCTAGGTTCACCTTCAGAAGATTATTTTAAACGAAGTACTGCAGGAGGAGGAAGATGAGGAGAAGGAGTAGTAGAAGAGGAAGATGGGGAGAAGGAGTAGTAGAAGAGGAAATAGAAGAAATTTCTGTTGTTAGGTGAGCAAATTTTCTATTTTAATATATATCGATATAAACTTTTTTAAAATACATTAACAAGGTATTTTAAGAAAAATAATGTCTTGATTTATTAAGAATTAAACTTACATACTTACTTTCAATTTTAAGGTATTAATAAGGTAAATATATGTAAATGTAAAAATTATCGTTTGAAGATGTTACTTAAGATATTACTACCTATACCGCACAGTATGGTAAATACTGAAAATTGGGTATAATTGTATTCTTTAAAAAAGTTATTCGACAATGTAAGCAATTGAAATCCATGATTGAAATTATAAGAAATCTTCATTTTATACAAAGTTTTTGGCAAAATGTTGAGATTTCATGTAAAAAGTTCATTAATTTTTGAGGAAATTCACAACTTTCTTTCTATAAAGTTACTTCTCTTTCATTCCTTTTATTTTTCTTTAATGTTTTTGGAAAAGAAAATGTTTTCTTTTAAAGTTTGATGGGAAAAATTTATCATCCGAAATGTTATTCAAAGTGCTAATTATTATATACATTAAAATGGTAAATATTCAATATAGGGAAAAAATGTATTTTTTCAAAAAGTTGCCAGACAATCTAAGCTATTGGAATCCACGAGAAAATTTCCAAATATCTTTATTTCATACAAGGTGTTTAAAAAAATGTTGACTCTTTTATTTATCTTCTTCAAAATTTTGGTAAACCTTATAACTCTGATTCTATAAACATTTACATAGAGAGGAGGTATTTATCGTTCATTCGTTTTCTTTTCTATAACGTTATTGGAAAATAAAAAGTGATTTTTTGAAATTTTGGAAAAATAAAAATTCTCGGAATCAATATTGAACATGTCACTTCTATATTAAAATGGTAAATATTCGATATATGGAAAAAATGTATTCTTTCAAAAAGTTACCAGTCAATCTAAGCTATTGGAATCCACGAGAAATTTTCCAAAAATCTTTATTTCATACAAGGTGTTTAGAAAAATGTTGACTTTTTTATTTCTTCTTAAAAATTTTGGTAAACCTTCTTATAACTTTGATTCTATAAACATTTACATTGAGAGGAGGTATTTATCGTTCATTCATTTTCTTTTTCTATAACGTTATTGAAAAATAAAAAGTGATTTTTTGAAATTTTGGAAAAATAAAAATTCTCGGAATCAATATTGAACATTTCACTTCTATATTAAAATGGTAATTATTCGATATAGGGAAAAAATGTATTCTTTTAAAAAGTTGCCAGACAATCTAAGCTATTGGAATCCACGAGAAAATTTCCAAAAATCTTTATTTCATACAAGGTGTTTAGAAAAATGTCGACTTTTATATTTATCTTCTTAAAAATTTTGATAAACCTTCTTATAACTCTGATTCTATAAATATTTACATAGAGAGGAGGTATTTATCGTTCATTCGTTTTCTTTTTCTATAACGTTATTGAAAAATAAAGTGATTTTTTGAAATTTTGAAAAAATAAAAATTCTCTGAATCAATATTGCAACATGTCACTTCTATATTAAAATGGTAAATATTCGATATAGGAAAAAAATGTATTCTTTCAAAAAGTTGTCAGACGATCTAAGCAATTAGAATCCACGAGAAAATTTCAAAAGATCTTTATTTCATACAAGGTGTTTAGCAAAATGTTGACGTAGAATAGTAAAAAAAGGTGTTTTATTTTATTTTAATTTTTTAAATAATTTAATGTCAGTGTATTAATATATTTTTTGTAATTTTATTTTTAAGCGATGCTGTGTTATAAAAATAAACTTTGTCGCAATAAAAAGTTGAGCCAGGAGGCCAGGTCTTCGTCGTCGTCGTCGTCGTTGCCGTGTAGCGTCGATACTGCTGCCGACGAGGGCTCATTCGTTGCGGAGGAGGTAACTACTTCGAGGGACGAGCACTTAAGATCGGTAACATTGCAATCTGTTACAAATGATGATTATATTACTACTGACAAGGATGACGGTAATATTAATGACGATGTAGGTAATGACGTGTTTCTTTCTAGTGACGACGACGATAACGACGATACATACAATCCCCATGACGATGACGATATCGACGACAATGACAGTGTTAACGTTGATGATGATGACAACCATCGGGGTTTCGACGTAGAGACGACCACCACCCGCACACGCAAAATTTTTACGTAAAAATCTTTTGGCTCGACGTTTCGAAAAACGAAACGAGCCAAAAGAAAACGCGGACGACTTGTACGCACGTGCGCACATGGTGCCGGATAGCTCAGCGCTGTGTTCCACGTCAAGTCAATTTTAGGCCTGAAATTACCGGTCGTTTCTATAACGAACAATTACAAATTAGACGATCCTCCATGCGAAGCGATCAGAACGCTAAACGTACTGGAGGAGCGCCTAATTTCTCCCCGAATTCCGTTTATGCAAATACGGAATTTGGGGTGCGATCGGTCGAAACACTTGAAAGGTCACGTTTTGAATGTACCGACCGACGTTGAGGATATTGTAAGAAGAAACAGACCACACTTAAGCTTGCAAGCAATTGGAATTACACTTAACGAAGAACTAGACGATGAAGATCAAGACAGAAGACGAAGAAAAGACAATTACAAAAATTCAAATTACGACGATGATTTGTCGAACTTTGAAAGACAAAGACGACATCAAAAAATTAACAACGAAGAAGAAATAGACGAAACGTACAGCCCGATACATCTAAATCCGGATCAGAAGAGACTATTCCTCAGAATAATGAAAACTATCACGAAACAACATCATTTGAACATACCGCTCGACGTATTAGCTAACATTAGCGACGTCGTGTCTATCGATGATATTCAAGAGGAAATAGATCCCAATGAAAATCTATTTTACATTGATGGTCCTGAAGGACCAGGCAAGACTCACCTATACAACACAATAATAACATGCATAAAAGAACATTTCCACAAAACGTGCATAGCAGTTGCGTGGACTGGAATTGCTGCGAATCTACTAATTACCGGGACGACAGTTCATCGAGCATTTAAACTTCCGTTAGATCTTACGGAAGCCCGGTTGGGCTGTAGAAACAAATGAAAGCAAGCGTATTGCTAACTAAGTTATCCTTATTATTTGGGACGAAACACCAATGACCCCAAGGTTTGCTCTGAAAGCAGTAGACAGATATCTCAAAGACATAACGAACAAAAACGCACCCATGGGGGGCAAATTTTGTGTACTCGGAGGTGACTTTCGCCAAATATTACCCATTGTTATAGGCGGCCATAAATACGACGTTTTAAATGCCACCATAAAACGGAGCATTTTATGAAATTCTACGACAACATTACAACTAGACTGCAACATGCGCGCACGAAAATATCCCGAAATTATAGCCGGACTGGGCAACCGCACATATTCCCAATGGTTGTTGGATTTGGGAAACGGAACAATACCGTACACTACTTTAGGTGCTAAAGCTATAATCGGAGGCAGTCGCGCAGCACAAGATTTAATACAAATTCCACGAACGTTTCAATTGGATAACATCGGCCGATTGATAGAATTTGTTTTTGACAACGATGACGTCAACAGGAGCAATGACAATAAAGCCATCCTATATCCTACGAATGCGGCAGTGGCCCATGTAAATAACATTATTTTGGACAAGCTCGTAAACATCGAAGAGCGGACATATTACAGCATTGATGAGTACAATCAAGAAGAAGACGACGAATTTCACGTTACTATGGACTTGCTAAATTCAATTGAGGCTGCTTCGTTACCTCCACATGAACTAAAGCTGAAGATCGGTGCTATAGTAATGATCCTAAGGAACGTGGACGTCGAAGACGGTATCTGCAATGGAAGTAGAGTTCGTGTAATAGGTTTGGGCGAGCATATTATTGAATGTGAACTTTTAAGCGGTTGTAATATTTTCATACCGAAAATAAAATCGTTTGCAAAAGATACTATGTTACCTAAGCCTGTTATTCGATTTCAATTTCCTGTAAAATTGGCTTATGCTATCACCATTAATAAGTCACAAGGACAAACTCTTGACAAGGTAGGTATATATTTGCAAAAATCTTGCTTCACTCAAGGACAGCTATACGTTGCATTTTCAAGAGTTGGGGCAGCGAGTAACGTAAAAATCGTCATTAATGATGACAATCAACAAGGAACCTTCTAATATCGAGGCACTAGACGATTTACTCGCAACGTAGTATATTTCGAAATTTTAAACGCAGCTGATGGTGAACAACAACGACCATTAGAAACAACCGATAATACTCGAAGAATATTATTGGGAGATGACGATCTTGAGGAAGACGAAGAACATCGAATATTCGTCGAAGATGACAATGATAGTGCCGAAGAATCGTCCGACAATGACAGCGCCTGCGATGTAATCAATGAATTACAAAATTTCAAAATAAATGATATGCTGGCTAACATCGACATCGACCAGTATCAAAACATCGACAATACTACGGCAAATAGAAGTTCAGACCTGTTTATAAGAGAAGACGAAATATTGGAAAGGTGCAATAACATACCGCACCAAAAGAACTCGAACAACGTGTAGCTCATGACGACCAACCAGGAACATCGTACCTTATCGATCATCCTAATCGTATTGTCGAAGACAGCAATTCGGATTGATAATCGATATTATTTTATAAAATATATTATGTACAATTAAAAAAAAATATTTTTTTAATAAATGTTACTAAAATATTATGTTTTACAATTTTTGTTTTATACATATTTCTTATAATAGTCCATTTTTAAAAAAATAAAAAAAAAAGATAAAATTTAAAAAAAAGGAGATAAAATTTAAAAAAAAGGAGATAAAATTTAAAAAAAAAGGAGGTAAAATTTAATTAATAATAAATACATTTGTTTCAAATATAATAATAATAAAATTGTAATATAATTATATTTAACATTTTGCTGTTTTATTTTTCAGTAATAATATTTATTTGGTAAGTTTTAAACTTTTTCTTTGTTTTTAAATTTCATAAGCATGTTTTCGGTACATAAAAAAAGTATATAAACAAGAAAGACGATGCCATTACTTTGTATGTCGGAGAAGATAATACAGCACGTGCTGGCAGAAAATCACATCGTTGGCACTAACGACAATGAACGACGAGTAGGAGAAACAGAAGAAGTAATGGTAGATGAAATTCGTCAATATCAAGATTTCAGGTTTGTCAGCTTAATGGAAGCGACATGGCGCATTTTAGAATATAAAATGCACGACCGATCTCATTCGGTGTTAGTATTGCCTGTGTACCTACAAGGAGAACGTACCCTGCTATATGAAGAATTTGATGATTTTGATAACATCCAAAGACGTCTGGACAGTCGATCGAAATTAGAAGCTTTCTTCAAGCTGAATAGAGAAGATCAAGAGGCAAGACGGAATTTGTATGCGGAAATACCAGAACATTACACTTGGGATAATAAATACGCAGAATGAAAGAGGAGCAGACAAATAAGTAAACAATTAGGATGCATGGTCGAGATAACGACCAAATGGAATTGTATTTTTTACGCATATTATCACCGAAGAAACGTGGACCGACAAAGCTTTGAAGACATACGAAGATATGAGGACGGTACGATTTCTGAAACGTATAAAGAAGCTTGTAGAATTAACAATTTTACTCGTAATACAGACGAATTTATTCTTAAAGATTATACTATTATATTTAGTAACTACAGATAAAGTGTTTTAAGTTCATTTTATTTATTTTTTATAATTAGATGTTTTACATTTTTTGATATTGAATTACTTATATTATTATATAAACAATGTCGGATTGAGATTTTCAAGGATTTTTAGTAAGGAAGAAGATAAATTTATTATTTTGTGATTTAATTTTTATTGAAGAGTTGAAAAAATTTTTTTTATGTATTACTAGGAAATTTTTCTTCAAGAGTTTGCTGTTTGATTCTTTGATTGATTCTTTGATTGTTTTATTTCAGCTTTATTATTTGAACGAGGTTTTATTAAATTTTTTTTGTCTAATACATTAATAGTCCAATCCGAAACTACATACAATTGTTGATAAAAGTAATTATTTATTTAATTTTAATTATATGTTTAAGAAAGTTATTTATTATTAATTTTACATTTAAATAATTTTTGTTTAATGTTTCGATTCTTTTATAATATAGTATATTTGTTATTTTTTAATGTTTTTTTTGGCAATAAAACATAATTGTTTATTTGCAATGTTTAATTCAATCAAATTATAAATGTATTGTGTGATTGAAATATCTCGCAATTTGTTTATCTGCGAGTGGCGTACAAAAAAGCCATTACTATGACGACCGAAGAAATGGAATTACAAGCAAGTAATCCTCATTTCTTGGGTCCGATGATAGAAATGTGCGAACTTTGTGGAGCCCTGTATTATACAGGAGAGAAGAAGAACCGTTCTAATGTACGGCTTAGTTGCTGTAAGAACGGAGCATACAGTTTCTCTTCATATTCAAATTGTCCGCAAGCCTTGAAGAACTTTTACTTAGGGAATAGTAGCAATGCTATTCGGTTCAGAAGAGAGATAAGATCTATAAATAGTATCTTCGCTATGGCACCTTTCAACACAAGCAGAAGAGTCCAAAATCGCCAAGGACAAGGCCATTCGTCCTTAAGTGTATGTGGCCAAATATATCATATGTACGGAGGAATTCCTGGAGAACAACAATTAAGGAACCCTACATTAAACCACTATTATTTTTTGGATAGTGAAGGAGCTCTCGAAAGAAGGAACGACGTTTTTAATATGAGGATAAACGAGGAAATCTTGGAAATTGTGGAAGATACATTAAAAAAAAGGAATAGATATATCCAGGCCTATAAAATTATAGGAGAGGTATTAAGAGAAGAAATTGACGGACGGAAATATAACGAACGAAACATCATCGTTGGATTTATGAAATATCCCGTTATGAACTTCCGAAGAAGAGAATTTAATTTACCGAAGAAGAGAGTTTAATTTACTGAAGAGTAGAAGTGAGATTGCAGCGATCTTTCAAGGAACAGAACCACCGTTCGAAGTGGACTGTAACATTTTAAAAGTCTAATTATAAAATGTTATTTTAAATGTGTGCCATCCGGTATAATTTAATTATCGCCAACACACAATATTCTAAAGAAAGGGCAATATCTTGAAGTGGGAGTACCACTAACCAAACGATCTCAAATCAGATTTGTAAATTTCATTTCATTATTACCTTTTAATTGTATCGGTGGTGCATTTGGGCTGATAAAGTGGTGAGCACAAAAAGTGTATAATGTCTTTCTTAAATATCTCAGTAGAAATATTATTCTAACCTTTTGTTAATTATTAGTTTTTTAATAGTAAAGTTAAATATATTTTTATGATTCATTCTGGTTGCTAGAACGGCACAATATGTATAGTCACTAGTTTTTATTATCTGATTGGTTCATTTAAAAAAAAAAAAGAGTAGATGTTTCAAATTTATATATCGTACAGAACCACGTGAAAAACAAAACAAAATTTATTTTTGTCTAGCGAACGAATGGAAACAGCCATAATCCATTATCCATAATACATAATCCATGAGCCACATAAATCCATAAGCCATAACGTCATAAGCCGAACGTTATAAAGCCGTAAAACCATTCTACCGCTGTAATCTGAACGTTGGTTCCCGAGGAGCAGAGATCTCGTGTGAAAAGTTGTTTGATTTGGAAAGGCGACAGCTACAATTCGAAGCTTCATAGAAGGAAGATTAACAGACAATGGCGTTGGTTTCCGAGGGACAGAAACTACGTATGGTTATCTACAAGTGACTAGCAATAAAACAATTGGTAATTACTAGTGACTAGAATTATTTATGTACGAATCACAATTTTAATGATATCTGATAACTGTGAATAATTTTTTTTCGAAAAGGTTTCTTTTTTTTAAATAAAATCGTTGATTTTTATAAGTATATATGTTGAATCTTATGTTTTAATGGTCACAAAAATTCTCTTTCATTCACTAAATTCTGTATAATTTTTTAACCGACTTCAAAAAAGGAGGAGGTTATCAATTCGTCGCGATATTTTTTTTTTTTATGTATGTTCAGCGATTATTCTTTAACACGGTGTCCGATTTCAATGATTCTTTTTTTGTTAGAAAGGGGGTACTTCAGGGGTGGTCCCATATAAATTTAGTCAAAATCTAATAATTGGGTCCATGAGAAAATCCTCAAACTCTTCATTTTTGATGTATGTTTAACGATAATACTTTACCACTTTGTCCGATTTATATGATTCTTTTTTTGTTAGAAAGGGGGTACTTCAGGGGTGGTCCCATATAAATTTAGTCAAAATCTAATAATTGGGTCCATGAGAAAATCCTCAAACTCTTAATTTTTGATGTATGTTTAGCGATAATGCTTTACCACCTTGTCCGATTTATATGATTCTTTTTTTGTTAGTAAGGGGGTACCTCAGGGGTGATCCCATATAAATTTGGTTAAGATGTGGTGATGGCATCTGCACGTTTTTGAAGTCGGTTTTTTTAAATTTTTAATTTACACTTGTATTTAACTTCTTTTTATTGATAAAGCTAGAATTTATATTTCTCACTAGCTTTTAAAAAATAAAAAAGAATTATTGGTGCCCTACATTTCCTAGAAAGATTACTACCCTTAAAATTGTCTATTTGAAAAGCCGAATTCACGACAGAGAAGAGTATGTGCTCATTTATTTTTTTAATTTTTAAAGGTAAGTAACGTTTGTTATGAAATCTCATTGGGCTAGTAAAAATCTCTATAAGTGTTTTGAAATTAACATTTATCAAAAAAGTTAACAAATAATATTACAAAATGGCGGGCAAAGTGTCAGGGTAATATTGCAGATTGGAGCCCAACGTGGCAATAGAATATTGCAGGACTTAATACTATATCCACACAATCCCAATGCATCTCAGCCTCACCGGAGACATCACGAATTAAAGAACCTTAATCCAATGGCAGATCCAATGGTTTATCCATTGCTGTTCCCATTAGGAGATAGCGGTTGCACCACCGATTTGTATTATAACGATAATAGGTTAAATCGTAATAACCTGAGGAAAAATATTACATTTAATGAATATTATAGATATCGACTGCACGTTCGCGACGGTTTCTCCACATTGCATAGTGGTGGTAAATTATTCCAACAATTTATTGTTGATAGTTGGTGCAAAATCAAATCCAACCGTTTGTGGTGGATTCGACAAAATCAAGAAAAATTTAGAATAGCCACTGAAGAAGCCGTTCGACGACTTCAACGTGTCGCCGATCGTCGCGAACTTCCTCGCGTTGGTAGATCGGTCATTATTCTACCATCAGCGTTCGAAGGGGGTGAACGACATCGTCAGAGACAATATTTAGATGCCATGAGTGTTATAACCAGGCACGGTAAGCCTGATCTTTTTATCACAATGACTTGTAATTCGAGGTGGCCGCAAATTGTCACGAATTTAGGACGCGCGCAAAAATGGGAAAACAGACCCGATTTGGTATGTCGCGTTTTTCATGCCAAATTATTAGAATTAATGGACGATCTTGCACAGAAGCAAATTTTCGGGGTCGTACGTAACTATCATTATGTCATTGAATTCCAGAAGAGGGGCTTACCGCACGCCCATATTGTAGTTACTATGCACCCGAATGACAAGATTATCGACGTTCCAGCCGTGGATCAGATAATTCACGCTTATATTCCAGACGTTTATATACAACCGAACGTATATGGATTGGTCAAGAACTTTCACATACATACACCATGTGGAAGGCTAAATCCTGATGCTTTATGGATGTAAGTGCAAGAAGTATTATCCAAAAGCGTATAAACAACATACGACGTTACACGCAGGAGATAACAAACGGCCAGAGTACAAACGACCCAACGATGGACGGACGATCTATTTGGAAGAATATCGCCAGCACATTTCAAATAGACGAATAGTACCATACAATCCGTATCACTTAGCGAAGTTCCATTCCCACATTAATGTCGAGGTGGTCGGTTCTCTATATACTATGAAATATTTACATAAGTATATAAACAAGAAAGACGATTCCATTACTTTATATGTGGGAGAAGATAATGCAGCACGTGCTGGCAGAAGATCACAACAACATCTAACGAGAACATCAACGGCCACTAACGACAACTAACGACGACAACAACAACAAGGAGAAACAGAAGAAGTAATGGTCGATGAAATCCGTCAATATCAAGATTTCAGGTATGTCAGCTCAATGGAAGCGACATGGCGCATTTTAGAATATAAAATGCACGACCGATCTCATTCGGTGTTAGTATTGCCTGCGCATCTACACGGAGAACGCACCCTGTTATATGAATAAATTGATTATATTGATAACATCCAAAGACGTCTGGAAAGTCGATCAAAATTAAAAGCTTTTTTCAAGCTAAATAGAGAAGATCAAGAGGCAAGACGGTATTTGTATGCGGAAATACCAGAACACTATACATGGGACAATAGGAACGCAGAATGGAAGAGACGAAGACAAATCAGCAAACAATTAGGATGCATGGTCGAGATAACACCATCGTCTGACGACCAAATGAAACTGTATTTTTTACGCATATTATTATCCAAAAAACGTGGACCGACAAGTTTTGAAGACTTACGAAGACATGAATACGAAACGATTTCTGAAACGTATACAGAAGCTTGTAGAAATAATAATTTCGTTCGTAATACAGATGAATTTGATAGAGCCTTTGGTAAAGCTGCTCTAAAATTACATCCTAGAAAATTACGACGACTTTTTGCACTATATTGTTGCGTAATTTTCGTCGACGAGGGTATTTTAGAAATTGGACCCCTATGTACAAAATATCGGGATAATCTTATTGAAGATTATATTGTTTTTGAAGGTTTAACTGCGGCAGAAGCAGAAAGAAAAGCTTACGAAAACGTTGATGAGATCGTAAAAAAAAACAGACCACACTTTAGCTTGCAAGCAATAGGAATTACGCTTAACGAAGAAAACGACAACGAAGAAGAGGACAATCAAGATCAAGACAGAAGACGAAGAAGAGACAATTACGAAATTTCAAATTACGACGACGATTTGTCGAACTTTGAAAGACAAAGACGACAACGACAAATAAATAACGAAAACGAAACGGACGAAACATACAGCCCCATTCATCTAAATCCGGATCAAAAGAGACTATTCCTCAGAATAATGAAGACTATAACAAAACAACACCAATTGAACATACCGCTCGACGTATTAGCCAACATCAGCGACGTCGTGTCTATCGATGATATTCAAGAGGAAATAGATCCTAACGAAAATCTATTTTACGTTGATGGTCCTAGAGGAACGGGCAAGACACACCTGTACAATACGATAATAACGTGTATAAAAGAACATTTCCACAAACATGCATAGCAGTTGCGTGGACAGGAATCGCTGCCAATTTACTAATTGATGGGACGACAGTTCATCGAGCATTTAAACTTCCGTTAGAACTAACGGAAGATACTATGCCCGGTTGGGCTGTAGAAACAAATCAGAGCATATTGCTAATGACGTAATTTTAATTGTTTGGGACGAAGCACCGATGACCCCGAGATTTGCTCTAGAAGCAGTAGATAGATATCTAAGGGACATAACAAACAAGAACGCACCCATGGGGGCAAGTGTTGTGTACTCGGAGGTGACTTTCGTCAAATATTACCAATTGTTATAGGAGGCCATAAATACGACGTTTTAAATGCCACCCTAAAACGGAGCATTTTATGGAATTCTACAACTACACTACAACTGAACTACAACATGCGCGCACGACAACATCCCGAAGTTATAGCCGAACTAGACAACCGCACATACTCCCAATGGTTGTTGGATTTGGGAAATGGAACGATACCATACACTACTCTAAGTGCTAAGGCTATAATCGGAGGCAGTCGCGCCCCACAGGACCTAATACAAATTCCACGAACGTTTCAATTGGATAACATCAACCAATTGATTGAATTTGTTTTTGACAATGATTATGTCAACAAGAACAATGGTAATAAAGCCATTCTATGTCCTACGAATGCCGCAGTGGCCCACGTAAATAACATCATTTTGGACAAGCTCGTAAACATCGAAGAGCGGACATATTACAGCATTGATGAGTACAATCAAGAAGAAGACGACGACGAATTTCACGTTACTATGGACTTGCTAAATTCAATTGAGGCTGCTTCGTTACCTCCACATGAACTAAAGCTGAAGATCGGTGCTATAGTAATGATCCTAAGGAACGTGGACGTCGAAGACGGTATCTGCAATGGAAGTAGAGTTCGTGTAATAGGTTTGGGCGAGCATATTATTGAATGTGAACTTTTAAGCGGTTGTAATATAGGCCGTTAAATTTTCATACCGAAAATAAAATTGTTTGCAAAAGATACTATGTTACCTAAGCCTGTTATTCGATTTCAATTTCCTGTAAAATTGGCTTATGCTATCACCATTAATAAGTCACAAGGATAAACTCTTGACAAGGTAGGTATATATTTGCAAAAATCTTGTTTCACTCAAGGACAGCTATACGTGACATTTTCAAGAGTTGGGGCAGCGAGTAACGTAAAAATCGTCATTAATGATGACAATCAACAAGGAACCTTCTAATATCGAGGCACTAGACGATTTACTCGCAACCTAGTATATTTCGAAATTTTAAACGCAGCTGATGGTGAACAACAACGACCATTAGAAACAACCGATAATACTCGAAGAATATTATTGGGAGATGACGATCTTGAGGAAGACGAAGAACATCGAATATTCGTCGAAGATGACAATGATAGTGCCGAAGAATCGTCCGACAATGACAGCGCCTGCGATGTAATCAATGAATTACAAAATTTCGAAATAAATGATATGCTGGCTAACATCGACATCGACCAGTATCAAAACATCGACAATACTACGGCAAATAGAAGCTCAGACCTGTTTATAAGAGAAGACGAAATAATGGAAAGGTAACATACCGCACCAAACGAACTCGAGCAACGTGTAGCTCATGACGACCAACCAGGTACATCGAGGCTTATCGATCATCCTAATCGTATTGTCGAAGACAGCAATTCGGATTGATAATCGATATTATTTTATAAAATATATTATGTACAATTAAAAAAAAAATATTTTTTAATAAATGTTACTAAAATATTATGTTTTACAATTTTTGTTTTATACATATTTCTTATAATAGTCCATTTTTAAAAAAATTAAAAAAGGAGATAAAATTTAAAAAAAAAGAAGATAAAATTTCATTAATAATAAATACATTTGTTTCAAATATAATAATAATAATTTTATTAAATATATTTTAAACTATAAATCATAAAAAAAACTTTTTATCAAGAATGATTTATTTTATCTAATAAAATTGTAATGTAACTATATTTAACATTTTGCTATGTTTTATTTTCAGTAATAATTTTTATTTGGTAAGTTTTAAACTTTTTCTTTGTTTTTAAATTTCATAAACATGTTTTCGGTACATAAAAAAAGTATATAAACAAGAAAGACGATGCAATTACTTTGTATGTCGGAGAAGATAATACAGCACGTGCTGGGAGAAGATAATACAGCACGTGCTGGCAGAAGATCACATCGTTGGCACTAACGACAACGAACGACGAGTAGGAGAAACAGAAGAAGTAATGGTAGATGAAATCCGTCAATATCAAGATTTCAGGTTTGTCAGCTCAATGGAAGCAACATGGCGCATTTTAGAATATAAAATGCACGACCGATCTCATTCGGTGTTAGTATTGCCTGTGCACCTACAAGGAGAACTTACCCTGCTATATGAAGAATTTGATGATTTTGATAACATCCAAAGACGTCTGGACAGTCGATCGAAATTAGAAGCTTTCTTCAAGCTGAATAGAGAAGATCAAGAGGCAAGACGGTATTCGTATGCGGAAATACCAGAACATTACACTTGGGATAATAAAAACGCAGAATGGAAGAGGAGCAGACAAATAAGTAAACAATTAGGATGCATAGTCTGACGACCAAATGGAATTGTATTTTTTACGCATATTATTACCGAAGAAACGTGGACCGACAAGCTTTGAAGACATACGAAGATATGAAGACGGTACGATTTCTAAAACGTATAAAGAAGCTTGTAGAATTAACAATTTCACTCGTAATACAGATGAATTTATTCTTAAAGATTATACTATTATATTTAGTAACTACAGATAAAGTGTTATAAGTTCATTTTATTTATTTTTTATAATTAGATGTTTAAAATTTTTTAGTATTGAATTACTTATATTATTATATAAACAATGTCTGATTGAGATTTTCAAGGATTTTTAGTCAGGAAGAAGATAAATTTATTTTTTTGTGATTTAATTTTTATTGAAGAGTTGAAAAAAATTTTTTATGTATTAGTAGGAAATTTTTCTTCAAGAGTTTGCTGTTTGATTCTGAGTCTACTGATTAAATGATGAGTTATTGTTTTATTTCAGGTTTATTATTTGAACGAGAGCTTATTATTTGAACGAGGTTTTATTAGTTTTTTTTTGTCTAATACATTAATAGTCCAATCCGAAACTGCATACAATTGTTGATAAAAGTAATTATTTATTTAATTTTAATTATATGTTTAAGAAAGTTATTTATTATTAATTTTACATTTAAATAATTTTTGTTTAATGTTTCGATTCTTTTATAATATAGTATATTTGTTATTTTTTAATGTTTTTTTGTCAATAAAATATAATTGTTTATTTGCAATGTTTAATTCAATCAAATTATAAATGAATTGTGTGATTGAAATATCTCGCAATTTGTTTATCTGCGAGTGGAGTACAAAAAAGCCATTACTATGACGACGAAGAAATGGAATTACAAGCAAGTAATCCTCATTTCTTGGGCCCGATGATAGAAATGTGCGAACATTGTGGAGCCCTGTATTTTATAGGAGAGAAGAAGAACCGTTCTAATGTACGGCTTAGTTGCTGTAAGAACGGAGCATACAGTTTGCCTTCTTATTCAAATTGTCCGCAAGCCTTGAAGAACTTGTACTTAGGGAATAGTAGCAATGCTATTCGGTTCAGAAGAGAGATAAGATCTATAAATAGTATCTTCGCTATGGCACTTTTCAACACAAGCAGAAGAGTCCAAAATCGCCAAGGACAAGGCCATTGGTCCTTCAGTGTATGTGGCCAAATATATCATATGTACGGAGGAATTCCTGGAGAACAACAATTAAGGAACCCTACATTAAACCACTATTATTTTTTGGATAGTGAAGGAGCTCTCGAAA